ATTTACCAAGTTTGGAAAACGTTTCTCTGAAATTGTTAATTAAAGATCAAGAAGGAACTTACGTATAAAGTAAAAATTTTCAGATAGTTAGCAAGAAGTACCCTCTGCGCAGTAATGCTTACCTTCTTTGCGATGTGTGCCACAAAGCTCCTTTGTGATATCTAGTCACCAGTATTCTGATTATGTTATGGTAACTGTTACAGCACAGCTGATCCTTACTAGTTAATCTGGTTTAACAACACAAAAAGCACGGCTTTTAATGATTTTACTCTTTATTTGAATGCTCTTCTATCCTGAGCGATTTTTGTATTGATACATACAGCATATGTAATATATATTTATATCACATATAAATTGTTGATATACATATTGTTTCACTAACCATAGCTACAAGTTTACTTGCAATGTACGTACGTATTTAATGAACAATTTCATGTTAAGTTGCCATGATAACGTTCTTTATTGAGAAATTTTTATCATTTCTTTTTATGTTGAGGTTAGAACTGCACACGAACAATAGAGACTACAGAGTGTGTAGAGTTAACGATCATGCGCATAAACTTTCGACCTAAACAAATACAGATGGAGCAACGTTTTCAAGAAGCCATCAAGAGTCAATGAAGTGTAAAACTATTAAAATGGAGAAAAATAGAAAAACGTTTCACCTAGAAGGACTTGAGTTATATGTACTTATTAAAGCTAAAAAGTCTCGTTCTAACAGAAAGATATGCAAAAAGATTATTACTTTCCTATGGCAGCTGCAGATATCTCTACATCTGAAAACTCAAACTCGAAACCATTTGGTTTTATTTGACGACATTAGTTTTCTCGCACATTAATAATTCTTAAAAGTCAGCTTAACAGTTTATGGAACTCGAATAATAATTTCTTACATTTTCATATACCCGATTACCAAGCAGAAAAAAAATCTCGTGACATCTTGTATCGCAAATAAATGCATTAGACGTTCTCACATTGTTCATATAATAATAAAATATAATTCATTGTAACTAATTACACCAAATGTATACAGTACAAAATCCAGGAATCAGTATAACTATTTTTGCTATTTTACACGATATTGCAAAAAATAAGTTTATCAGATTTAGTGAGAATTGAAATGTAATTTCGGGTCACAGAATAATTACCTACTACAAACACTAGTAAATTGATTCTCGCTTATTAAAGTTATTATTGTTGAATAAAACAACGTTATTGACCGACTTAGAGTCTTAGAAACTGAGTTTGTTAAAGAAACCTTAAGTATGAATTAGAAATAGTTATTGAATAATACTTATGAAGAAAACAAAATAAATTTATGAAAAAGACTTGAGGAAAAGTCAGCAATAATGTCCTAGTAACCTTCCACCAGGTTCCTTAAAATTTGACTTCGTCGTAAAATTTGAGGTGGAGTGTCTTGTATATCGTGAACTTAGAGAAACATTTTCTGATCAAAGTATATATTAGTCTTTTAATAACAAAGTATTACTTTATAAATTGTGAGTGTCAGCGAAACGTTGAACCTTGTGCTAGTGCTTGTTTTTTTAACCATATCCTATTCTAGCTGTTTTGATTTTATTACTAATTTTATATTGGAATATATCCACATATGATTAAAAGTTAAGAATTTTATATTGAAGAACACATATAAAATTGGTTAAAATCTCATGTTGAGAGATTAAATTTTAATCGCAATTCAACTTAACATCCAAAGTAAAACTATAAATATTTCGCTAGAGTATTTAGTTTTAGAAGTAGCTTTTGTGTTTCTGCACAAAATCCTTTTAAATATTAATTGCCAAACTTGTCATATTGAATTGATAGGGAATAATGTTTTACCATTGTATTTCAGAAAACTCTCTTCCTTCTCTATTGTGTTGATCTAAAGTCACAAACGTTATAGTTTATGTTCAAGTTTAGTGGCTGTTGTAATCCATGTGAAACGTGTGTAAATAATAATAAAGTTGAAGAACTTTTACTATTGAGCTCTGATTCTTCTACTGACTCTTCAAAGGTTTATTGTTTATATTATAATGTGACTTTTGTGTGTATGTATGTCTGTTTGCTTACCTGTGTCAAAGATTTTCATTTCAATAGTCTCAGAACTTCCACAAAGTGGACTTTTTTCTGCGGATGATGTAAAGTCCACTTTTCCGAAAGTGTTATCGGGTCTCGTTTCTGACGTTGACCATGCGTGTTTTGGAATATCATGAAATATTTTCATCTTTTCGACCTCTGACCATAATGAAATTTTCAGCGGCTGTTGGGTATGCTACAGAGGGATTCCAAAACCCCTTACCTTATTCATTTTCTCATTTTTAAGAGTTGGACAGCTATACATTTCAGTTTTCGTTCTTGTATTCGCCAGTGAATAATTCACATCACATGAATCCAAAAACATATATGCCGCGCATGGCGCGGGTATGTTTTGCTGGTAACTATAAGCCTACCACCAATGAAATAAAATTTTTGGGATGATTGTTCTGTAAAGACTAGTTAAAAAATATATTAAAAATGAAACTGTGTCCGAATTTATTACAGTTTCTGAATGATTGGAACATATTTATTACATAAACCATATACTAGTGCCCATTTTACAACGTTTCATTGCAACAACAAGGAGTAAGCTACGTTACAACGTTTCATCGAAACAACAGGGTGTAGGCTACGTGAGGAACAAACACTGCTGCACATACACAGAGGAAGAAAATAGAATAAGCATATAGAGACTGTTTGGTTCTTTTAAAAGCGAGTGCTAGTTTAGCTGTAAAAGGTCGTAATATTGAAATACCTCGGAGTTTTCTGCACATGTTGTATCGAACGGCCTGACCTAGTGATATTTTCTATATTTACCTTTTTACTGCGATCGTAAATTTCTGATGTTGGTATTGAGCTCTAAATTTAACTGTTATTAAAGTAATAGGCTATGAAATTATTTTAACACTACTATCATATAATCAAACAATCATATCATCAAACAATACTTATACACAAATAAAAAAATCGCATGAGGCAATCTGAGGTCGCGGGTTCGAATCCCCGTCCCACCAAACGTGCTCGCCCCTTCA